TGATGCCTCTGTAGAAGTATCACAACATGGCATGTAAATCGCCATCCATTTAACTTCCAACCAATAATTCTGGCCAGGGTCATGGGGGGGGGGGGGTTTGGACAGGGCCCAAGGCACGGGTACGCCCTCGACGGGATCCCATTCTATTGCAGGGCACATATATACATACACTCCCACACACACACACACACACACACACACACACACACCAGATGTAAGTATTAAAGCAGATAAATGATATTCACCTCATTTTCACTTTTTACACATTCAAATTCCGACAAAAATTGGCACTGCACAGCCATTTTGCTCTAGGACTGGCTGGGATTCAAAATGAACACAGAAGATAAAATACCTGCGAGGAGGCTGCACAAACTTAGCAAATAAGTAGGACACCTTGGAAGAAACATAGCATGGAGCCAACATGTGTCAGACTGTCTGGGTTTGTTCTGGCAGCATTACAAAAGGACGTCTTCCAATGCATGCTAGTTGGATAGAAGAGGAACTCGTCATAGGGACTTGAGACCTGTTTCACAAATGCTCTGAGGATTGAAGTCAAATAAACTGTCATCTAGATCCATGTAACACCGTTACCACCATGCATACTGAGGTTTTGGGAGCTGTCAATCAAAAACATACTTGGTTCAGGAGGACAGGGCAGTCTGTATTCAAATGATCATGTTGTAATATTTTTCTGTCATTGTGAGGTGATACCACAACAAAGACAAACTGGGTATCCGAATGAAGTCTTCAGTCCCGCAAATAACCCTCTTCTTTTAGTGCTTGTCTAAGGTTGTAACATTAGTTTGGTTTATTAGAGCATTTTCAGCTATAACAGATTAGAAACCACAGGGGGAAAAAAATCACTTGTGATGCTTCATTTCATTAAGGCACCACACAGATATTCAGTTGCTTTGATCTTTGATTATGTTCTGGAACTTTGGATTGAATGGGTTTAACCAATTATCCATGGTAACGATCCATGGTGTCCGTGAAAACTGTAAAAATCATTATCGTTGTTTTGATTATAGGATTATGATCTGGAATTTTGAATGGAATGGGTAAACGTATCAATTATCCATGATAACAAAACTATGTTGTTAAAATCAGATGTTAATATGACAGATGATAGGGATCTGTTTTCTCAGCATCATATAACACAATGAATTGTTGAAGGTAATTCAGGGTTTGTCTGTCCTTTAACTGATATCCCGGCAGTCACCCCGGCATTAATCTCAAAATACATCAGTGTCATATCAGGTTCTCTTCTATAACCACCATATTTCAAGGGGTCACATCAGAAGTAACAAAGGGCTTGGTGTCCCATGTTGGTTGCACACAGCTGACCTCAGAGGAAACAGTTGTTCCAGTTCTCATACACAACACAGTGACCTGTACCTCAAGAACTACCTAATCAAAAGAAGTGTATGCTGCTGAGATTGGCCCCCTTCACTTGACTGATGCTTCCCCTAATGATGGTACCTGCACATGTATTCTGCTTTGGTGCTATTGGTATACACCATTGGTATACACCATTGGTATACACCAATCCGGTCCTCGGGGACCCGGAGACGTGGACTGACTGTGGCTCCCTAAAGACTGTGTTGGGGAACACTGGTATACACTGAGGACCATGGTACACTGGAACACTGGTATACACTGAGGACCATGGTACACTGGAACACTGGTATACACTGAGGACCATGTTCAGTGCAGGCAAACATTCTTCAGCCCTGATTAAATTATAGAATAACCTGGAGAAGCACAAACATCTCTGCTGGGTATGTTAAGTTCCCATCTGACACGTTTCGTGGATACAAAAAAAAAAAACAATGTCCCCTGTGGACAAACAAACAAGCAAACAAATACTTTATAATTATATGAATTAATATAGGCTAGTTATCTCTATGTAACTATGTTTTCTTTCACGGTTGCTAAATTAAGTCCTTAACAGTTTGCTTGTCTCTGGTGATTCACTCAACAATATAACAGCCTAACTGTGAATGTGACCTAGCCTAACTGTGAATGTGACCCAGCCTAACTGTGAATGTGACCCAGCCTAACTGTGAATGTGACCCAGCCTAACTGCACTCTACACAGCATATCTATGTGTGACTCAATCAAACTTAGCAGGTTTGTTGTGGGAAGTGACTCCCTCTCGGTGTGTGTGGCCCCCTTTCACATAGAAAACCCGTTAATGTATCAGGTAAAAACAACATGGGATAGATAAATTCTCATTCCGCCAGAATGATAAAACAACAGGTGTTGTGTACTCCCAACTGATATCAATGCCTCGTTTCCACCAGTGCGGTGCTTGTGCCGGTGCCGAACTTTTTCCCCAATCTGGAACTGGCTCCGTGTGTCACCACCACAAAAAACTGATCCTAGATTAAAAAAAAAAAAAAAAAACAGCTCCAGCACACCACCACAAAAAAACTGGGCTCAGAATTTGGCGCCGTAACATCAGCGAAAGCAGGACGGACTATCACGTCCAAACCTTCTGCATACCTGGAAGCTTCAATCCATAACCAATATAGTTTAGTCTAATATCACCGGTGCCAGCAGTGCAACAACTTGCCAGCTTATTAGCAGAATAATGTTACATCATTTTTTTATTTTATTTTGTGAAAAACGAAGGATCGATTTGCTGGCTATGTCACAGGTCAAATAAATAAAATATGGTGAAGAGATCATGAGGCGGACAGCAAAGTTTTTATTGTGCGATCCTTAAAAGGACAACGGTAAAACAGCAACTGAGAGTAAACTCACTTACGCACCCAGATGGGAAGTCTTTACGGAGCCAAAAGTAGATATAAGCAATAGAAAAAGGGCGCAACGAGTCAGATTTTTTTTTTTCAGTTCAGCAGCTTATAAAAACTTAAAATCCAAAACCGCAACATAAATCCAAACAACAAAATGCAGATTAACCTTTTCTTTACTTGTACTTCTGCCTACGCAACAATTCTGTTCCGTTCTTTTTTGTAACTGGTGGATACGTGGGCAGGTACTCAAAAGGCACAAAGCGAGAACCAGCCCGGCACCGGCACCATGTTGGTGGAAACGAGGCAAATGTAGTGACATAGTGACAAACATGGTAATCTGTTACAGTTTCGCATTCAAACTGGAGCAGTATCAGAAAGGTACCACAAATGTTACTAGGTCGTCAGGAGAGAGATTAACTGGTAAACTTTACTGGGTTGCTCCCATTTCCACAGGATAGCATAATGGTAAAATTGTGATATATAAGTGGGTTTCAGTGTGTGTGTGAATGGAGTTTAAGAGAGTTAGGAGAGGGATGCATCGTCATCGCCCCCCCACCGAACGAAATGCCTGCTCTGTTTACCTGCCATGTCTGTTTTTCTTTTCTTGGAAAATACCTGCGTGAGCTCATTATGTTAGAGTTAAATTAGAGTGTCTGCTTAATGACAGCGTAACATAGCCTATTAGTGCTGTTAGCTAACTGAATTCCATAATTTGTGCACGGGGGGTGGGGCGGGAATCGGGCTTCCCTAGTGAGTCACCAAGGTGTTGGATTGGTGGATGGATGTTTTTTTTTGCAGTGGCGGAAACTATTTTGGTGTGGCAGGCTGCCACGGAGAAATGCTACCAGTGGAGACCCTGCAAGATAATGAAGGCCAGTAAACTCAGTACACGCACACTGCAAGCATTCACACTGAGAACTCAGTACACGCACACTGCAAGCATTCACACTGAGAACTCAGTACACGCACACTGCAAGCATTCACACTGAGAACTCAGTACACGCACACTGCAAGCATTCACACTGAGAATTCCAAAGACAGCATCACTGGCGGAAAGAATTACTTCAAGAATTCAAAATGTTGCTAGTTCAAGAGAATGGCCTAATGTTTATTCGTAATAAATTTTTAATCATCCTCTTCACCTATTCTCCTCCTTCACCAATATCTCTAATGAGATAGTTTGTAAGGAAATAAAAATTAACAATTCACATTGCCTGGTTTCAATGACGCACATTGACAATTACATCCCATTAAATGACTTTTCCTTTTCTAGACATGCTTTTTTATTTTTTAATTATATTTAAAAAATAAGAATATTGAAAGTAACCATCGATAAGCAATAGGCTTTTAACATGTTACTTAAAGGCACAGTTAACCCAAGTATTAAAGATCCACAGTGTTCTGAAAAGAAACTCGCACTCAGCGGTGTAGGTGAGTCTCCTCCTTCGTTTCCTCTACTTCTGTTTGCGGTTTCCCCCGCCAACCGGTCATTTACACTTCGACATTTGAGAGACAGGGCCAACCGGAGACTGAATCCCTTCTCACTGCAGGAACTCAGTAACTATCCTGACATGTCCTTTAAAGGACCTGACGCAATTCTCGGAAATCCCATCCGACCAAACTACATGTCACTTTTTTTTTTTTTCACGTTCACAGTCCTTTGGAGGTTTCCCTTCAAACCTAAATCCTGATGTGACAGGGAGACGGGGGCACGATGGGGACAGATAGTTTGTTTCCTAAGAGATTCCAAGGGTACTTCAACTGGAATGCTTGCTCTTAGGTCTTCAAGCTCTCTCTCATGAATGTTTATTTACGGCCCGAGAGCAGTGTTTCTCAAACCAATCCGTTGGGACCCCCAGACCGCGACGTTTTTGCTCCCTCCAAAATCATGGAGCGCCTGGAAAGGAGCTGGGACAGAGCGCAAACAGGAACTGTCCGGGGGCCGTGGAGGATCGGGCTCAGAAACACTACCCTAGAGAGACCGCTGCCATCTTCTGCCGTTACCAATCTTGAGAAACTGAAACAGGAAATACCACCTGAACCTTAAGGAAGATTGCAGACAGGGTCAAACTTACCCAAACCCATGGATGTGGTGACCCCAGCCATGTAAATACATGGTTCTCATAAGGACCACATAGGGGAATAAGCATAGGACAGGTTGTAGAAGAACAAAAGCCTGACTTGATCCCACAAGAGGGGCGTTGCCAGAAATGCCGGAAGCCACCTCGCTGAAGCACTTACTCGTCGTATCGGATGTGATAGGTGGTTGCTTCCTCGCCGGCCGGCCAGCCCGAGGTGGAGGGCCCAGCGCCCATGTTCACCACCGGGTTCCCGTTACTGTCCAGGGCGGCCCGGCCGCGCTCGGCCTCAGGCCTGCCGTTAGTCCTTTTGCCCAGCTGCTCGCTCTTCCCCAACATCCCGGCGCTGCCATTTTGCCCTCTGGGCCCACGGGTCACCTTCTCGACGGTGGCCTCGAACCAGGCGCCGATGCTGATGTCTTTGCAGTCCACCAGTTCGTGTATCTGTGAAAGTCAACAGGACATATAAATATCAGCACGACATGCAGTGGCGTACTGGTCGGTCACCATAAAGCACATACTCCCAGTGGACACTTTATCAGGTACACCTACTCATTACAGTATTAACAGCTCGTTCCTCTAATCCGCGAATCATGTGACTGCAACTGAATACATACAGCGAGCAGACAGCGTCGTGAGGTTCACTTACTGCTTTGGTAAGCTTCAGGACCGTTAAGATGCCTGAGCTAAATGATTTTGATCATGGGATGATTGACGGCGGCACATGTGGTGGTTCCAGCATCTCAAAAAGTGCCACCTTGTGCATGTAACTCACACACAGACACACACTGTGACACCTGGACAATTCCTGGTAATTACATCAGCCGCAGACTATGGTTTCACTTCCAGGAAAAACAAGCCTACCTGCTCATCTGCACCAGATTCTGAAGGGTGAGAAGCTGCTTTAATTCCTGGACTATGACCAATAAATGCTGAGAGGCTCTTAAAGTCAATGCTAAACCAAAACAATTCTCTGGGTGAAAAAAGTAACACGTTTTGTCTGTTTTGTTTGACCAGCATGATCATGACTAGAATGCAATGCATGTGTTTTTTTTTTTACATTAAATTAGACCAACCATGTTTCTGGACTGCAGGAGGAAGCCCGCAAGAGACAGGGAGAACAGAAACTCCACACACCGGTGCCTCTAAATTGCTCATCGTGTATGACTGTGCAAGTGAATGTGCATGCAGGTGCTCTGCAGTGGACTATCATCCCATCCAAAGTGTAGCCCAACCTTGACCAGGAGAAGCAGTTACAAGATACATGGTTGGATGGTTGGAAGGATGGATGATTGGACAGTTGGCTGGATGGATCGACGATGGATGGATGAATGACTGTACTTATGGTCACTAAAGCTAGCTAAGAAAATGACCTCTAGTTACCTTTTTATTCCAAGACCTGTTCATTGCTAACAGGTACGTCAGGTGTTTCCATGAATCGCGTTCCTGTGTAGGTCACATTCTGACTGGTTCATTGCTTATAATACTCATATGAGGTAGCTAGGATTTAACTGTACGGATCTGATTCCAAAAGAGATTCATCTGTAGCTTTTTCCCCCCATCTACTTCATTAAAAGGTGCCAATAAATCTAATGATAAAAAGTTATTACTACAATTAGCATGTTACACAAACCCCAGCATGGTGGGTAGCTTGGCTGCCTCATGTCTCTGAATAACCCCCCACTCGACATGTGCAGTCTGCACCTTCTCCCCATGTCAGGCAGCTTTTCTCTATGTACTCCACTTTCTTCCCACATTTTCAAGTCTCTAAATTCTACGTAATGTGGATGTCCTGTGATTGGCTGGAATCTTGTCTAGGCTGTTCCCCTCTCCTTGTGCCCCATGTCCTATTGGATGGATGTTAAGCTGAAAAGATAAATATCCCAAAAAAATAGGGATGTTGACTGCTAGTATGCAGAAACAAGAGAACCGAGACCAGGAATATTCTTAGAATGAAGTTAGGATCGCGACAAGGACTGGATATATCAGAATAATTATTTATTTCATAGTAATACACAGTAGTTGACACTTGCACTTCGAATGTTAGATTGTACCCAAGTAGCTGTGCAAACAAAAGTGCTCCCTCTACTGGTGCAGTATTACAACGTCTTGAGTAGACTAGTGACCATTCCTCCCAAACACCATTTATTTTGCTTGTGGAAGTACTAAAATAGGCAGTTTCACTTTACCTTTCCTGATGTATTGGTAGAACTATACATGTATAAAGCCTCCATTACTCAATGTATCTATCCTGTGTAAAGTTAGGTTTAGAGAAATGGAAAGAATATGAGTGCAAGAAAGAGCTACACATCAGAGTGGATGACTCCACTGGACGCTAACTCAGGAGCAGACCATGTCATACAACATTCCAATGCAGAAGAGCAGAAATTTCTCAATCAACAAGACCAAAAACCTGATGGTCACCCTTTTGTAAGAAAGATGTACCTATACCTGTCCAAAGGCTAACAAAGGGTTCTTTCAGCACATTTGTAGTGTGAAAGTTGTAATATTATAAGAATCTAACAGTAACCCTGGCTTCTTCAATGGCATATATGCTCAACTCATATGGCTATTTTGACTTGAAAGCTTGTAGGTCACATGACCAAAATTTTGCTAATTAAAATATATTCAATGATTTCAGAGAACACAACATGCAAGCAATGATAAAGCATGATAGTACAATCAAGCATGCTTTGTTTTTTTGGGATGTTCATCTTCTGAAAAGTGTGGGGGAGGGTTGTTTGTGTAAATAGCTTGTGAGCTTGGAAGACTGGGAATGACACTCACCCATTCGTCTGGGATTTTTATTTACAAACATATCCTGATTCTGTCTTGATCGCCAGAATACTACACTCTCTACCTAATTACCGTCGCTGTCCGTGTATTGGTGGAATTCGTTTGCATTTACTTACCAGCTAGCAAAAGTGTCTAACTGATCGGCTGAGAATCCGCATTTGTGACAAAAGAAAATGGCTTATTGAAAGGAAACATGAAGTAGAGGCGGGTCGACGTCAGTGATGGGATTAAAATCATGAGCCCGTTCGGCACTCCTTCACATGCCAAAGTGGTGACAGGAGACAGACTGCTGAGCACGAAGTCAATTAGCTTCAGCTTCATCAGAGACGCACTTCAGGTTCAATTCAGTTGTTTTTTTATATATATATATATATATATATAAATATATAGCCTTTTAGTTTCCGCAAAACACCCAACAAGAGCTGACAAGGTTGCTATAACATTCTCATTAAGGTATATATATAAAAAACACACAAAAAGGACAAAGAATCTGCCCATGATTAAATAAAATCAATCAAAACCAGGTCATCGTTATCATGGGGTTTTTTATGGTTTATCTGCATGACAGGTATTTGAACATGATTAAGGATCCTGCAAATGCCCAAATTATTCAGTCATTTGTCAGCAAATCAAATTTGTTCCACATCGTCTTAGGCAGCTTGTGCTCTCTGTAGAGTAACGCTCATACAGAAGAATGAGAATAAAAAGAACGATGGAAAGAAGAGCTCTAAGAGTTGAGGTTTGTCACTCTAGCCTACTAGCCACAATTCAGCAGTGATTTGAACTGTAACATTATTATTTGGACATGCTCTGCTAAATAAACTGAGGCCTTATCAATGGCAAAATTCTTTCAAAAGGTCATTTAATTTAATTGACAGCAAACACATGCCAAGCCACACCACTAGAAGAAAGAGGAAGAAAATATAATGTCCCATTTCACATTAAATATATCGTTAAAAAACCTGACGTGTGGATTTGTACTTTTACTTTTCTTATATAAAACAGCAGTAGTAGCTCTCCCGGCTGTGCAATGAAACCAGATGTAGTGCCATTGCCTTCAACAGCACTCATACTTCAGCATAAAAATGACAGGGGTGGTTCAGTGGTAACATTGTCATCTCACACCTAAGGGGTTGGTGGTTTGAATGCTGCCTTCCTCTGCTGTGTGTGTGTGTGTGTGTGTGTGTGTGCGTGCGCCCCAGGGGGTTTCGTTCATGCCTTCTCACTACATAAGTATCCCTGGGTGCTCAGAAAACCCAACGCGTTCCTCACAGTCATTTCAGATTTACGAGAAATAGCTGAACAGTACTTACTGGCACAAAAGTTTCAACAACGATGCCAAGATGAAATGAAAGAGTCCTGGAAGACAATCTGCCTGCTCTGTACAGATCTAATGCATATGGCCAGGAAGGACCAATGGACACTTAGAAAATGCCCCCAAGAAAATTGCCGACTTTTGAAAATGTACAGATTCCCAATGAATGATGTGGCAAAATGGCACATAAACAGGAGTGAAGAGATCGAAATCATAACATTAAGCCAGCGACAATGAACAGTCAAGGAGGGGGAAGACAAAACGAGTGCAAGTAATGCGATGGCCAGTGTAGATAAGCAGACTGGGTGTTTCCACTCAATACAATACATGGTTTGGTACCAAGCAGCAAGAGATTATGATACTCCACTCATTTCTCAGCAGCAGCAGCATCTAAGGACAAGAAGCACTACCTCTATACAACAAGCAATTCCTTCAATAGCACTGATGCTGGCCAACAGATGTTTACTACCAGAAACACACACACTGGATATGCAACAGACTTAACATTAATAGACAGCAGAGCTGTGCGCGATTAGGAAGCAAACACAGTTTGTTTAATTGAATTTTGCTTAAATTAAATTAAAATTACAGCCACACTCTACCCATCACCCACCATGACAGCAACTACAGTTCACAAAAAATCGTCTAAAATTTATAAAGCAGAAAATCTACATAACTAAAAAAATACTACTAATACTACGACTACAACTACTACTATTATTAATAATAATAATAATAATAATAATAATAATAATAATAATAATAATAAAGCCAATCAGAGAAACCCACTGGGAATAAAACTGCAGACAATCTTTTTGTATCCCTGCACCGCCATGGTTACAGCACCATCGTTTTTGTTGTACCCACTCCCCCCGCCGCCACCGCCGATTTAAATCAGTTAAACTAGGTCAGCCACGAGAGTATCTTGCGGTTTGCGAGGGCTCTTTGCACACTAACGGTGTCCTGATGCTCAAAATAAGAGCCTGGATGGGGAGGGGGAAATCAACAATAACAAGCCCTGACTCCACATCTCTGTCATTAATGAGGCAAATCTGCCCAATCCTGTTTTTACACCAAATTATTTGCAAGTATTCTAATCCAGCATGGATCCGATCTTCTGAATGTGGGAAGCCATCCATCAGAGAGCTTTCTCGAAGAATCCAATATAAAGAGCAATCGTTCGCCATGGTTACAGCCCGGCGTCAACATTGACGCCATCCTTGGTGCTTAGCAGCGGTGTTCTGTATTCAAATAAGTGTTGTCATTGGTCAGCTATAAAACGGATGTCAATGACGACATCACACTGCAGAGGCGCTTCCTGACTAGCCAGTGCACCCCGGCACACCATCCTTCCAGAAAATCTCCATTCGGCCAGCAATCCTGTGCCGGTTACTAAATGTATTCCAAAAGTAAGCGCATGCTTTAAATAACAGCTTTCAGACACATCGCAATGCGGGATCGAAATGTGCTCCTGGGCACCCGCAGGACCACAGCACCAGGCTGCGATTTTCCACGCGAGCGAAGATGTGAACGGAAATCTGAATTCAGCCGGGTGCTCTTAGGGCGGCACGATCCGTTTCAGAAACTGAATCATGAAAGACAGAAATGAAAGAGGATGTCCAGCAAGTGACCGTTTCCCTGCCAGTAAATTCATGGCCAGCATAGTAATAAATAAAATGTTGTCATCCATGAAATAGCCCATTTCAAGACTGGTTCAATGAAACTAACTACTAAAACCGAAAGGAAAACGAAAACATATTTAACAATGAAACTGTAGCAATTTCAAATTTTTACTTTTCACAGTAACCTAAAAATGTTATGGCAATGTGACCTAAAACCGCAATTTTCCAAGGTAGCTACAAAAGCTACATTGTAAGCTAAATCTGTACTGAGGAAGAGAAAGATATAGAAGACACACAGGCACAAACACACACACACACACACACACACACACACACACACACACTTGTACTAACCTTGTAGGTACCAAAATGTGCTTCAGTGAGGGTCACGTTGCCAGATGTTGACGGCTGACAGTCCATTGGACGCCGAGCCCCATTGCTGTCACTGTTTGTCCCGACAGGAGCTGCTCCAGCTGCCAGTGCCACCCCAGACTCCACAGCGCCCCCATCCTGAAGGGCCGGCCCGGCGGTGGTGTCATTCCGAGGCCGGATAAGCAGCTGCACAATGTCGTTCAGACCCACGTTGTAGTCGAACAGGGTCTGGCCATCTTCCATCTGGTGAGACGGGATGGGACGGGACAGCAGCTGTTAGAGGACCGTTTTCACACCACGCTCTCACTGCCAAATGTCAGCTCTATAGATAGGCTGCGTATCAAAGCTGGGCCAGTCACACTGCATTCTAACAGGACCAGAACACAGGAAACAGAGCAGCTCCACTGCTGCACCTACTATGCAACAACTGGCTCTTTTATCGTTATAACTAAAGCTATACTCAAATTTTTCCTTCATAAAATATTTGCCTGAAACTTAAAAACAAGTGTAAAACGCTACTCCTTCCATTTCCTGCCTTTCATCCAATCATAGTTTTTGACAGCAAAATCTGTGCATTCAAAAAAAGGGGCACAAGCAGGAGGGGCTGCTTGCTGAAAAATAACCAAACCGGGCTGATTGTGTAGCCGGGGAAATGACAGGTGGTACCTATGGCAACGCAATTCTGCATTTTCAGTTCCTGAATCATTATTGCGCAGCTTTTATCAAGAGTATTCCCCATATTCGAACAGATATCAGACAAGTCTACTGGCACAAGAGTCGCGTGGCATTGATTGTGGGAGATGAACAGTAGCAACATTCTATGTATGCAAAGACATTCCAGTAAGAAAGAAAAAAACAGCAACTCATTGCTAGGGGACACAAAAGAAAAAGTCTGCATAAACTGACAAAAATAAGTAACGTAAGGAAACGTGGAATGAGCATTCCCACCCCAGGGCTAAACAGAGAGACTCCCTAACCTTACACACATTTACAACAGCAATTTACAAAGTCATCATATACTACAAAATAAAACACTCAAAAGTTTTTACCCCCAAGGGAAAGCAATACATCACGTGATGCCTATCAAGATGTCAAACTGTCTAAAACTAATCCAACTTTTCTCTGATGACACATCATCCTGCAGGTCATTGAGAGGTAATTAAATTATTTCATGTGTATCTTAGATAATATATGAATTTGTACAGAATGTAGCAACCAAACACGGCTTTCAGTGATCAGCTATTTTTTTTTAGGTAGTTAAATGTACCTGTAGGTAGATACAAATGATTAGACTTTTGTACATTAAAATACACATTAACACACCTAGAATCACAAAATTCTCAGTTACGATGCTCCATTGAAAAGGAAAGAAAAGGACGACAAGTCATTTTAAATGGCCCATCCTGAACAGGCCATTCAAATAAGCCATCGGTAAGGAACAACCATCATTTAAAATAAATAAACAGAGAGATAAATAAATAGTAGAACATTCCAGAACACAACCTTCAGGGAAGAGGTAGTAGCAAAAACAGAGCGTTCTTCATGCACTATGCATGACGCAGAACTGCAAGTACCGCACGTGCCTGACATACAAATATAAACGACAGATATGCATGGGAAAGACTGCGAGACAGAAAAAGATATTAATGAATATTTAACTAAATCAAGGTGCCACACATATATACAGTTTGATAGTAGAGTGGCCAAATATCAAGGTAAGAATTGATCTTGATGGTTCCCGGCACAGTGGATATTTCAAGAAGTGTGCACCCTACTGCAATTAGCATGTAAAGAATGTATTTTATAAATGAAGAGTGAACAGATTAAAATTCAGCAGAGAAGCTCTTTCTTGGACTGGCCCAGCCCCCACCATTCCTACTCCCTTCTTCCGCTGAAGAATAGTAAACATGCTAGCAGACTGGGCGTCGCGCTGCAATTTCCAGAAAGAGAAAGAAAGAAAAAAAAAAAATCCGGGAAAAAAATGTTACTATGGAAACATGTACAACCCACCCCAACGTTACCCCCCCACCCCCCGCCCCCCTTCACCGTGGCCATTTTGGAAAACTCCTCTAAGGCATGTTATGTATTAACGTAATCATGGTCTCCCCGAATTCTAAAATGGCTGTGAACTGAGAGATATGTCGAAGCTACATGTAGAGCGATAAAGTGGGAAAAAAAAATCTTTGCGAAGGAAAGCCGTTCAGCATAAATTAGTGGCAGCGATCAGCGCGCAGTCTGGCTGGACACACCAGCCGCAGACCAGCGAGGAAGCGGCCCAACTTCATTTGGGCATCCACGGGGAAAATTTTTTTAAACATTCTGCAAGGCGTCGTAAAGTTCCTTAGAACGTCATTTTTCAGAAGCATTCATGCCTTCCTAGGCTCCCAGACACTGTCTGTGTGTGGGGGGTGGGGAAGCAAACCAGGGATTTTCCTTTGGGTCCACAGGCTCGAGAACGTTATCCACTGAGAACAGAGGACAGCTCCATCCTAGGGACCCCCTCGGCCGCCGTTATGCAGGCGCCGTCCCCGACAGCCAAGTATGCGCAGCTGCTGCCGAACCGCACTAAATCATCGAAAAGCCAGGCAGTAGCTGAGCGAGCGAGCCTTCGAACGGTAAACATGCAGGAGGCCTACTGCAGGGCAAACCATAAAACGGGTGCAAGAAACATGGAAAGATCAGGCCAGTTTTAATGGAAAGACCAGGCTGAAGTTAGCTTAACCCAATATCTTCAGAGCACTCCACATATCACCCCTCTTTGCACAAGACCAACAAATAAAAGGACAAAAAAAAAAGAATATTAATAAATCAATTGAGTCTCTAAAACAAAATATATATTCAGCAACTAATTATGGGGTTCTGGCTTTCGAGGAGAGATCCAAAAGAGATTCACGTCCTTGTCCTGCACCAGCTAACATACTCCTAAATGCCCTGATTTCCCAGAGCCCAAAATCCCAGAGACTCAGCTTCTCACAGCCCACACCGGCACCCTGCAAGCAGATTGTTACTCAGTCTTATTCCTCTGTATCTTCATCCAGCTAACAGGCTGCGAGAAAGGTCCGCACCAGTAACACAATTTGATGATACAGGACTATTTACAGAGGCTTGAGCAGTCTTCCTCTCTTTTCACAAGCAATCCTCAGAGAGCATCCTTTTTGTACAGCAGGATATACTCTAAAACTTCTTTCAGTAGCTTGCTCGTGGCAGTAGCCTTCTCTCTCTGAGGTCATCATAGCATGCTAAAATAATTCAGGTTCCATATGTTCGACAACACGACAGCCAAGGCAACTGTTAATTCTGAAGACCAACCAATTGCTTCAGCTTCTAGTTCTCCACCCCAAGAAGGAAAAAAACACAATTAGCGACTGTGGCCCTAGCTGTGACATTAGCCCCTTCGGAAGGCGTCAGCCCGCCACGCGTTCATTACATTAAAGCAACTGGACATCACCGGATGCTTTACATGAACAGGACGGATCCATGACACGGACTCGCTAGAAGCTGAAATCCAGGACCTTTTTTTAAAACCTCAGCAGCAGATGCTGACATTAAATAATTAAATGGTATTAAATTTTTAAATAAAATGTAATAAAAAAAACAGCTTGATTAAAAAGTCTTCTAAAAGTTTATTACAGGACTAACTAGACAGAGCATTTCAGAGCAAAAAAATCATTACTAGCTTCCACTAGATAAGAGGCTTTAACTTTAAAAAAAACATATTTCCAATTAAATAATTCATAGGCCTGTCAATTAGATGAAAAAGTATTCAAGATAGCTGACAAACTGTGACAGTATGAAGGCTATCTTCTATTATAATACTCAAATTAGTTATAAAAATTATACGTATGCAATGGCGGTTACATTTTTAAAAATACCCTTAAGAAACAGAGACTGATGTTTACTGCACACTGGCTTATGACAATAAAATAACATGGCTCATTGTTAGTGGAGGTTATCTTAACAAAAAACAGACCTATAAAATTAGCATCAACAGTTCAAAAAATAGCATTTCCATTCTGGGTATTCAGGCTGAATAATTAGGGCTGAGTTTCTTAAAAGTCTTCACTTGGGTTTTTGAATCTAATGATTTCTGTGAATGAATCACTTGACAAGATTACCAACGCTCTAGAAATGTATAATATTCAGATTATAATACTGCTCAAAGTTAAGTGCCACCATCCCTAAAATATATTTTATGCTGGGGGAGAAAAAAAAAATCAATTGTTCAACGCCGGATTACATTCTAAACAATGATGGTGTAGGTAAATGTTTTCTTTAGCTGCGGGGCACTCAAAATGGCGGGAGACAGTGAATTTGAGGCTTGTTTTCCAGACAGTACATCTCCACGCCACCAATCTCATGTGTTACATTTCAAACTTTAAAGTCAAACTGAATATTCATTAAGAGACGCAGGCAACCAACTCAACTGGAAGACCAAGTCAGTATACGTTTGTTCTCCCGCCAACCTCACCGCTTAATAAAATTCAAATTGTCCTCATACAACAGACTTCCTCTCCACTGGTTTGAAAATGACAAAAACAACTCCTCAAGGACTGTTTCCTTCGTTGAGCTGCGGAAGACAGATCATCCTGATTATCAAGCCTTTGTTAGACTACAGCTCACTCCATTACATCAGAATCAGCGTTTCAAGGAAGACAGGTTAAAGAGAAAGGGGTAGCACTCCACACAATCCCTGTAGATACGGTAAATTCTGAAATATTAAGATATTAATGAGGGTGGCATGCATCTTGGCAAGTAAGATCCGTGCCCATGTCCAGGTGGTCATGAATTCAAATCCCATGGTAGGCAGAGTAATCGTTAAAAACACTTGATACTTGATCAAGACCCATAACCCAGCTAATCCTGAGTCACTGACCCTCTTCTCTCATCTTCACTAGCATGTTACATGAGACAAATGCATCGGCTAAATAAATGTAATTACATTAAGAGTCATATTAACAAGTGTGCAATATATTACACCAGTCACCTACAGAAAAGTATCATTAATCTTGTTGTTTTTAAACATAATACACATACAAGTAAGCTATTTCCCTAGCTGCTCAAGCCTGTCTAGGCAACGAGCCCCATACAACTCGCTTGCTACGATTCCCTTCTTCACGCACCACTCCACAATGGAATGATATTTCAAAGACAAGAAGCTGTTTTATAGACCTAGCACCATACTGATGACCAGGTTTGTCATAAACCCGGCCTTCACTATAGCATTACTTACAAATACTGTGTTGTGTTCAACTGTTTATTTCTATGAAAAAATGAAGGGATGAGACCAAAAGACAGCGGGTATTTTTGTGAAATGATCCTTCAGTAACTGACAAGATTCCATTGTAAATATTGTGGCATATAATTTAAGAGGATGGCTGAATTATTAAACATAAATGTAACTAGTACAACATAATGGAGGAAATAAAACAATACCGTCTGTGACTCATACTACCATGCCCCCCTTAAATACGTTGGTGTACTCTTGCCACATCAGATCTCAAAAAATGCAAGACACTACTTTGTCTTGAGAGATGGAACAGCTTTAATTGTACAATTACTATAAGAATGAACAGCTCACTCACTGGCAATATCCAGTCCATCCTGACACAAAACCTCTTGTACATTAAGAGATTGTAAACTAAGAATTCACTAAATTCGCAGCAAGTCAAAAAAAACTTTCCTTTGTTATGATATAAAAACAAAGGCCATATTCGCTTTTATCAACTTTTGAATATAGACGGATTTATCTTTGAAGATGGTAAACAGTTAAAAATAAGGTTCTTTGTTGACGATGTGTTAAATCCCCAAGCAGCTGAAAGTAGGACGGCGATATGACATTAATAACAGTATTGTGTCAGTGATATTCAGATGCAACCAGGTGCCATGTGCGCTTGAGGCACCACGAGTGTCAGCGGGCTGCAGCCAGACCCCGAACACACCTCCGCCCGATAAGGCAGCGCAGCTACGGCCAGCCAGGCAGCCACTCTCCAGGTTAGTTTACCTCCACAGCCAAGATAAATATGCACGCATAATGTATGCAGTTTACGGTATTTTTAAGACCCCGTTCCCAGTCAGATGGGTGTGCGTGCCTATACACGGTAAAGGCGGCGGGGCGCTTTGTTTTCAGCCGCGAACCTGTCATCCGCCGAGCAGCCGCAGCCGACTGCGCAGCCAGAGCCGAAGAGCCTCGCCGCAAAAACACTGCCCGCCGGCCGCTTGTCAGCGCCCCCAACTCCACGTCCCGGACCGCTTTCCCCGATGGATACTGTCCCTGGCCGGGTACGTGGCTCTGCGGCCAGTCCACCTGCTCGCACCGGCAGCCAACTCCGGACATATAACTAACCGTGTTGAGGCAGAAAAGACGAGTCTGCTTCGCTTCCACCATTGGCAGCAAAGCCAGAGAGCAAACGGGGAGTGCAGTAACCCAGAGCCTGCATTAACACGGAGAATAACCCCACTCGGAGAAGGTTTTTGCTAGTATTAAAGGAAAAAAAACAAGCAGCCAGTTAACAAGCTACGTTTAGTTGCTGCGGACCGGAGCCGGAATGTTTCCCCATCATAACAGGAAGCGTGAAGCCTTCTGCCTGACAGACAGCCGTGCTAGTTGCTTAAATTAAATAAAAGCTATCAGATTTTAAATAAACCGATAAACAACCCCGCAATCAAACCCACAAGAAAAAAAAGCCAAGGTCCTTACCTGCTTCCCCCTGTAAAACAATCTCTGCTTCTCCGGGCTGACACGGAATATCTCCTGGATCTTCAGCCTCAGACTCTCGATTTTAGTCAGTCTGGAAAGATCGTCCACGGTGCGCGTCTCCTTCCCGTCTATGGTCCGAACCTGGATCCACATCGTGCCCCTCGACGGCCGAAAACAGGCGAGCACTTCGGCGGTCGCAGGGGGTGTGTGTGTGTGTGTGTGTGTGTGTGTAAGGGGTGGGGGGGAGGGAAAGAGAGGATGAAGGAAGGAGGGCTCAGATGGCCGTGCGCGGCCGCCGCTGCGCAGCAGCCGATGTGTTTACCGGAGGCGTTCCCACGTGAGCGCGGCGGCGGCGCCAAGCAAGTCTCGCGAAATGAAACGCAGCGCGGACGCGCCTTTAAAGACACAGGGCGCCTTTAAAGACACAGGGCGCCTTTAAAGACACAGGGCGCCTTTTCCGCGGCGTTCAGCGTCATTAGCGGCGGCTCCGGGACACTCCCCCGTCCTGCTCTTAATAGGCCGGTCCTGTAGCAAAGACCTCTCGCTGTAGCAAAACACCTGCGCAGTTCACCTTCTCCAGACATCCCGTTTACCACCACCACCATCGGGGCTGCCAACTTTGGTCAGCTGGCTGTAGTGAGATTTTCAGTTCGAAGGCCACACACATGCATGCACACGCACTTACATGTATGTAACAGTTTTATTACCTTGTAAATGTAAATAGTCTGTAGGGTATGCAAACTACGCCAACGCTTTTGTGTTTAATGGAATGATATAGATTTGCCGTGAGATTTCTTGCGTGTGTGTGAGTCTGAAAGCGGGAGTGTCACGCCAGATGCGTGAGCGATGGCAACCTTGCACCGTGTGAGTCTGTGTAGAATGTGGATTATTGTCTGTTGGATTCGCATAATTGTTTGCAGAGTGCATAGATTTATATATCAGGGACATGACGATATTTGGCTTTTAATGATTAATTTAAGGCTTCGATCTCTACAGGTGATTCCAACAGTGTCCAAATCAGCTAAATACCCAGAATGGACAAAGGTGTGTCCTTCCTTTTATACAAGTTTTATCCTTCCTTCCTATTAATCACACAGATATAAAACTCCACTTAGTGTGGGATGCCGCCTTTTCGCTTTCACTAAGGATAGTGGTGAGTGTGACTATGACGACCTAAATATTGTCTCAGCTGACACCTACAACTACCTGGAGGTTTAGATCAGCTTGTTTAAAAATCATTCAACTGTAATAAATAATAAAGAAGTAATAAATAACTTGAATATTGAATGATCTTGCTCCTTTAAAAAAGTATGTAATGCTGTACGGAATTTACAGAAAGTAAGAGACGCCTACATGTAAACAAAGTGGTTGATTTTCAGTGTTTATAGCGCTTCAGAGAGTTCTTATTTGGAGAATAAACACTGTGGGCATGTTATTGACTAGACAGGACTATTGGAAGTGTGAAAGTCCTAAGCCAGCAGTTTATCTACACAAAGGAATTGTAAAGGAGTTATTTGTTTTGGTTTATTACATATGAGCAATAGCTTTCTGTTTATATACTAATAGAGTTATTAGTATTAGAAATGTTATTTTAACTGGATACTAGAGATATGAAATTACACTGTGCATCCATCCATCCATCCATCCATTTTCCAACCCGCTCATCCTACCAGTGTGCATTGTTTTGTAATAAATACATCACTTGGTTGCACTCTCAAGCAATGACGACTAGCATTTTCCCCTTTCGGGGGTAATTGGTGCATTACACCGCTGACGGTGTTTTATGCGTTTTGGTACTGAGTGGAGAAGTACCGCCTCCAGCTGGCGAAATGTAGAACTGCAGTCATCCGTAAGGGGGAAAGTACACTTTCACGCTCACCCGAGTTCTTGCGCTACGAAGGTGCAGCGTTTTTAGCAAATGTCAGGGGAAGAAAACTAAAAGCAATATACAATGAGCAAAAAAAAAATAATAATAAAACATATAATAGACCATTTATTTTACAGGAAGTACCACTGCATTATTTGTAGAAAACAAGTTTTGTCGTACGTGTATGAGAAGTGTGTATGAATCCACCCAAACAACACAATACATAACGTGTGTAACATGTAATTATCTGATTAATACAGTGTATAATTTATTTCCTGTAAGGGGAGTCAGTAGGAGAATTGACAATAAACTGGTCATTGTGTGCCCTAAAACAGCAAGGTACTAAACTTGAATTAATTAAGTAAAGGGCAGGGTTGCAGCTCAGTGAATAGCCTCCCACTTTCAGAATCTGAGTTTGGATCCTGGCCCCGGTTTTGCATGTTCCCCCCAGTGTTTCACGTTCCTTCCCACTAATCTGGGATTCCCATCACACTGCAAGGTAGTCATGTGAGGTTAAAGGTGGTGTGTCTCAATCCGGTCCTCAGGGACCATAGTCAGTCCATGTTTTTGCTCCTTCCGGGCTCCCTGCCAGACAGTCCACAATTTGGCTCCCTCCCAGCTCCCGGAAACGTGGACTGTCTGTAGGTCCCTGAGGACCGGATTGAGACACACCACCTTTAACCTCACATAACTACCTTGCAGTGTGATGGGAATCCC